AGGGGGGGAGAGAGGGAGGGAGGGAGGGAGTAATAACAAAACTTTTATTAATTTGATTTTGTTAATAAAAAAACTAATTTTTGTCCTTTTTGTAGAATATCAATGGCATTTTACTACTGGTATGGCCTTTATCTAAAAAATATGAAATTTTGCTAATGTTGCTTAAAACACATGTATATTTTGTTAGCACATTATGAAATTGCTATTTAAACTATATAAAATTTTAATAAGAAATTTTGAGATCAAATGTTTATTGATATTAAAAAAGTTGAAAAAAAGAATAATAATTATGGTACGTCTTTTCGCATTTATTTCTCTTTTCTTTATTTTTAAAATATTCTAAGTTAGTTATAATTATAATTATGACACAAAATAAAAATAAAAATTGTAAAGTAAAAAAGAAAGGGAAAATTATTTATAAAACAGACGGCACTTTTTAAAAATAACTTTTTCTTTCTTTAGATAACTTTATAAATAATATTTTTCTTTTGTATCATAATTTATATTGTCCCTCTACAGAAATGTAATTTAATACTAGCTAATTTCATACTGAAAGATAGTGATTAATTATTTTTAGTATTAATGCATTGTTGTGTTCGGTGCTTTTAATACATAAAAAATGAGTATATAGTTAATCATTACCTTTCAGTATATTAGATTTTTACAAGGATCAGCTGTGTCAAATTTACATGAAAAGTAGTACGATAATGAAATGAATAATTATTCTTATTTCATTTGGATGATATTTATCTATTCATGAAACATGCAATGTCATAAGAATATCACGTAGCTACTTTGATAAAGCACGTTTAAAGAGCTAGTAATCACCTAGCTGTTAAAGCGGATTCCTTCATGATTTAATATGACGTCATATATCACGCTCATCCTCTCATTTCCGCAAGACATTTGCTCCTCAATCTTATACGCTATTATTTTCTCTGGCATCACGCTTCGCTGCTTTAGCAGAATCCGCCCATAATCAATAAAACCACGTAACATTTTAGATAGAGATCTCCGAAATTCGAAAGAGATAATTTGTCATTGCGTTCTGCCGTCTACCTCAGTTGCAGGAAAAGTTGAAGGTTCAAAAAAAAGTTCAAAGATATTACGCGTGGCTTACCGAAATTCTAATGCCCAATTGGACAACGGTTTCGAAGGGATTAAGAACGGCGAAGAGGTAGCTCGTTCTAAAAGAGGTCGGCTTGAACGTGGCCACCAGGGTGAACTCGGCTGGCAACTTTTCCGGGAGGTATAGCCTGTAGGGTTGCTTCACTTCGGATCCGGGTCGAAAGCCAAATGCCGGAAATCCATCGACACCGTCATCCATGTAAAGATTATTATCATCCGTCATCGATGACACCGATGCTTCCATCAAATCGTATACCACTTCTGAAAACATAAATGTCAATAGTTTCTATTAAATTACATTTAATAGTTGCAAAATTTACGTGACCGTTAAATGTTGACAGTTCCAACAACTAATTAACCTAACGATATTAAATTATCATAATGATATTAAATTGAAATACTGCATAGATTGATAGGTAATCAAGGTTATTATTTGGGAGCAAATTCTAAATAAATTAATGCATGCGTAAATTAATGTTAGAATTATTGGCGTCATTTGGTTCGTGAAATAACTATTAATATTAAATGTGTGTGCAAATGTGTATGTGTGAGTAAAGAGAGCTATATTCAATCAAAGCGGGTCTTAATGTGCTTAATAATATATTGTGTAAATTTTTACAATTTCCACTTCAAACAAACTGTCGATTATGTGTCACTCCTCGTTAAAAGTATAAATATTAATATACATTTTTTATATATACTATCGAAAATCTTTGATGAAAATTCAATGAAAATAAGATTATGTAATTAAGAAAATTCTTGAAAACGAAATATTTTACAAAAAAAAGTAAGTATCGAGAAAAGTACGAAGAAATAACGTAGAAACTTTAATTAATTTTTCGCACGCTGGTTTGTAAAAGATTTACACTTGATATTCTGATAGATTATTTCTCAGACAGAAAATATCTAATGATTAATACATTGTTAAGTTTACCAATTATGTAAAATTGTGACATGTCGAGAAATCGTAGGAGATCATAGCTATCGAACGCAAACATGTTAAAAAAAAATAAAGCTTGGCAAAAAATAAGTATATTAAGTGATAAAAATTCTCTCTAGGCAAACAAATAAAATTGTCAAAAATATTATAATTTTATAATTTATTATGAAAATATTTCTTGTTAGGATTTATTCACAAAATAAGAGAGCTCCATATATTTTGGGTATGAAATTCATTTAACATTAATAATCTCCGAATAAAGAAGTACAGCATAGTTTCAATACTACGAATCGTGACATTGTATTCGTGATCATCATGTGTATTGTGATTAAGATCATAATTCTTTAATGTATGACAACACCATTTTGTACGCCATATGTCATGCTCCGGTCCATGACATCCGATATACCATGTGATATTCCGCAGCTGAAAGCTCGATAACCGATATTTATTGTCGGAGACATGAGTCTGCGCAGTAAATCGCAAAAATCTTGCTGACTAGACGTCAATAGGTCGACTAGTCGTTAGTAAACGACGCTTCTTATTACGCTTAATCAAAACCGTTATTGATATACTATGTATTATATAGACAAATAACTTATTAAAGAAAACTTAAAATATTGTAGTTGTTTATTTATGATAAGCGTAAAACCGTTTAATAAAAATTATATTGTCAATTACAGAGACTTTTGTCTCTGTAATTTTTCCTAACACTGTTTTCCTATGTTTTATATACACATATATATAACACTTTTTTTATGTTATATATATATATATATATATATGTATTACGCGGAAAGAACAGATTTGTTCAAGTATCTAAAAATATAACCAGATACAGACTCGAAAAAATAATTTTATTGAACGTTCAAAAGAATTATGTAGGACACTCAAACTGATAACTAAAATATCAAACATTTTTTCAGCTTTTGCTTCAGATTTCTATGTAATTATTTTAATGGTCCAACAAAATTTTTTTTAGATCTATATTTAGGTAAATTTTGGATACTATAATAAAATTATTCCTTATGTGTATGTAACAATTAACTTGTTTTTCCGTTTACGTGAGAAGAAAAAAGAAGTCAAGGATTATTTTCAGTGGATTTTAGTGCTTAATATTATATAATATATAGTATGAATTTTACATCATGTTTCAGAAATTTCAAGAACTGGAAATTGTAAAAATTTATATAAAAACATTATTAAGCATCAAGAAACACCTAGACAAGAAATATCTCTTCGCTTGATTGAAAGTATATTGAAAGATTCTCGATCAATTTTCACTGATAATATTGAGAAAGGAAAATATTATTTGAAACGTCTGAAAGTTGAGAATATATATATTTCGAAATAGTATTCTGTTGGGACTAATGAAACATCGTTTACACTTCGCTTTATGTTTTCTTCTCATACATAGTCTCCTATCACAAACAGCTGCTCTAATAACAAAATTCGCGAGTAACACAAAAATGTTCGATAAAAATACGGGTAACAGCATGTCGGCGAATGGTATAAGTTAAATTTTCACCATGCCTGAAGTAATTTCTAAATTACATTTGTGACCACACCATATTCTCCCGTAACGTGTTCTACCTCGGAATACATATGTTCCGCCACAAAAGCTTTGATGAGTGCTCGACGAATTTTGGTTCTCGCATTTAGCTTGTTCTCTACGGACTGCATTTTTCGTGATCTGCCATGGAGCAGTTTTTCATGTGCAAAAGCAAATTAATGTGTTATTCGAGTAACCACTAAATATAGAATTAAACTAACCGCATTTCCGACGAATATACCATACTGCGATTCGAGAATGTGAAAACTAATGTTACGTTTTTATTTGATCTTCTTATTTAATAACACATGCGAAAGTTTTCTAAATTTATTTATAAACCAAAATTCTAACGTAAAAAATATATATTAACACTTATTAACAGTAAATTTCATGTAATTTTTACGCAGTACGAAAATATTCTATTTGCACTTTTCTAATTATTTTTGAATATTTATTTCTTGATTTTTTATTTTTTGAGATATAACTTGAAAGTCAATTTCAAGATTGCTATCATAACTACAGAAAAAAATTGGTATTTCACTACAATAAAATACTACGTAATTCCTATGTGCGCGCGTAAAGTCTATAGAGAAAGCTTCCATTGTTTTTTTCATTTCAGTACGATGAAATATTTTCGTATGCCTTATGTTTTATAAAAAAAAACTATTAATAAACATAAATAAAAAAAAGTGTTGTGTTATCAATTGAAATAGGATAAAGTTTATAAAAAAGTTTCCATTGTTCCCCTTATTTCAAAGTGGATATTTTGCACGATGCACCATTTCTTACCGTCTTTTGATTTTTAAGAGATCTTTAACAGATTAAATCTATTTGAGACATCTGTAACAACAGCAGGAAAGATTTCAATGCTTGATGGATTGTAGCGTGGAATTGAGATACGTGGTGATTCAAATGCCGGCATAGGCATTGACCAGGCGACACCTCTTGCACTGGTATGCCCTCCTGACGCAGATCTCTATTTTGCACCGAAATTGGGAAATTGCGATAGGCCCGAGTCATTTTAAAGTCCAAACTAGAAGCAGCATACGTGTAAATTGGAAAAACGAGACGCGAACAGTAATTGAAAGCTCGAGATTTAATGGTCGAGCGACTATCTCGAGTATACACTTTCTTTACGCATTTCAGTTAATCGCCGTACCAACATGTGCATTTTTTTCGAAGTCGACTGACAATGGAATTTTATTTGAAACTCATTTCATCATTGATTAACATTGTTTTTATTAATTTTGAAAAAATTAATCATCATACTCCGCAAAAAATCACGTGCGTTTCCATCAAATTCGTTGTATATAAGAGATTTATTACATTATCGAATAGCTTTGGCTATATCATCACGTTTCAAAAATTATAGATGAGATCTTACGACGATATCTATACGTTTTATAATAACCGTAAATTAATAGCAGTTATCATTTTTTCGTCACATGATAAATGCTCGATATTTCCGTATAAAATAATAAATTATTGTTTTCGCAAGTCACGAAGAGTCATATCGATGGCACAAATCAAAATGGGCTTTATCGCTTATCGATTACACAATTACATTCCGCTTCAATAAATTAGAGCTTTCGTCATTCTGTTCCCATGATGAGAGTACTCTAAATACATTTCAGTGTGAAAGTAGTTTTGAATTTTCTAGAAGCATGACAATATGCTATGAGGCGTGCAGCGTGAGGCTACCATACTTTGTTCGACGGTAATTAGGTAATAAACTCGACGTCGCGGTTATTAGCGCCTGAAAAAATTATCATAAATTATTGTAATAACAGCGTCCATAATGCACGATTTCATGCGAGTTTGCTTCGCCCATAATCCTTGTCTTCCATCGTATTCCGCGTAAATCCATTTGCATAAATCCGTATGCCAATTCGCCCTGTCAGCTCGTTACAACTTTCCCGGTTGCGCATACAAGAATCCATGAATCACGCAAATCGAACAAACGCAGAACGTTTCAGTACGAGTCAGGATGCAATGTCTTCTTTAATCGACATGAGTGTGAAAATTGTTTCTATGTTGATTTCTTTATATGTTTTTACGAATCTACGAGATACTTTTTGCCATAGTATTCCGAATATTCGTTACAAAGATCATTAAACGTGTGCATTATATATTTCTTATATAGATTCCTTTATTTATCTTTTTAATTTTGTGTTACGTTCCATGTACACCTACTGTATACAATTAACATAACATTGTGCTGAGATATGTATTATTGATATATAACGATATACGATATATGATATTATATATACGATTGTATATTTTAAAAATATCAACGAGAAACACACACACACACACACATGTACTTAACAAGTGTTATTTAACTTTTTTATTCTTATTGTAGTTTAATTTATATGACAGCATATTACAAATTCTAAAATAAAGTATTACTGCAATCCATATTTTTATAGCTGCGAATATATATGTATTTCGGTAGTATTTAAAAACTTCTCGATAATATATATATAGAATTATCATCTTTTATTTATTTCCTTTATAACTATATTTGTATAACAATTAGTTTAATTATCACATAATTATATCTTTAAATGGAATACATGTGTATGCTGCAAGCGTCATTTTTTTCTATTGAATCAGGAAGTCTGATCATCTCCGAGAACGCGAAACGAGAAAACATCGTCTCTCAGGAGACGATGTTCTTACGTTCAAACAAGTTTTTCGATCTCCCTCTGGAGACTGCATTTTTCTTCGATACTATCATTTTTGCGGACAATTTATAGACGTGTAAAACGGCTCATAATATTATTGTACATTCCAAATTGTAACTCATGAACAATACTGACTTGTTATCTTAATAATATAATACATATAAGAAGTAATATTCTTCGCAATAAATTATTCGCAGTTTTATAGATTTCATTAACATATGAGTTTACTATTACATAGGGTTCTTCTTATTAAAAATTTGATTTATTTATATTGGTCTGAAAGTTGTTTCATATTATTCATATGAAATGTCTTCTTCTGTCATATTTTTGAAGTTTATTCATATTGATAAGTTTATTGAGATATTTTTGAAAATTGTGCCAAATGTATAAAAATACATGGATTATTTATTTTGTAAAAGATGTAACTTTTAATAAAAAATGTAAAATTAAAACTACGAATATTAAATGAATTCTACAATAATTGAAGATCGAAAAAGCAATAAATGATTATATTATCAGATAAAGTTTCCTTGCATAAAATGATAAATTCTATATCACTATTCGACAGCATTGGAATCGAAATGTTTTTAAATTACGTTTTATATATTTTATATTTGATAGCTGATATAACATTTGTTCAATGATGTTTGTTCATGGTACCAGCTATCAGTGATATTATTGCCACGTGGATGCAATTAATATGTTGCAGTTACAATGTGTAATATTCTCCTGTAAGCTATACATATCAAAGTATATCAAGGTAACTTTTCAACTCTACATTTTGTAATTGTGGAATGTAATAACTACATATCAAAACTAAAAATTTATACAGTATAATAAAAAGGAATGTTGATTTAATAAAATAAGTTATGTCAGAAAATGAAAAATACAAATAGCATTCATGCGTGTAAAAAGCGAAATCAGTAAAACAGGATAATAATGTAAAATTTACAAAAATTTAACAAAAATTTTTATGTGTGAATTTTCACATCTATTTTTTTCTTTCACAATTTTATATACATATGTGTGAATGTACATATGCATATGTCTAACACAATTCTTCAAACAAATATTCGCGATTTTATTTAAAGCTTCGAATAAAATCATTTTTTTGTCACAGTAATTTTTTTTTAATACAATTATAGATCGGTATAGTATGTAAGCTGGAAAGTTAAAAAATCTGCGAGCTTCCTTTTTTTTACGTCTTTCATATTAAAATCTCTAAGTCGCTGGCATCAGAAAATTTTGCAAGAAACAATAGCGCGGACGCGGTAAAAGACAAAAAGAAGTTCTTTTTCCATCAAAAGTTTGAGTAGCCGAGTAGCAAGCAAGCAAATGCGGCTTCGTTAAAAGCAAGAATGCTCTGTCTTGTACTGTTTGTTGTTATATTGAGAACTGCCGGCAACTACCGGTCGCTATGCGAGTGACATTGTATTTTTAAGTCTTATAAGCTTCTGTTTATTGTGCATGAAAAATATACGCCGAAATGATTGCGCCCGGGCTTCAATGTTTACTCTATGGAGAACGTGGAATAAAAACATTTCTCCCAGGCTAGTGCATATGCGACATATTCACGAAATCGTACCACTGAAATGCGTTTGTTTTCGAACAATTATCACGACCATGCAGACAAAAACATTTTCTATTAAAGTATGCAGAAGAGCGGAACAATATTTTTTTTGCAGCACCCAAGAGCTTTGCGATGATCTCATTAAATTGTCTAATTGTAATATTTACTGTCATATTTGTTTCCTATTGTTCACGTAACTTAATAACATGTGCGCGCGCACTAGTAATACAAAACATATTTCTGAAATTGCCGACGTAAATGTAGTGGCCCAAATTAATTCGGTAAAATGAATCCAGAAATACAATTATCGCGCACGTAAAATGTACAAAAATTCTCTTGTTTATGATAATAATTAGCATAAACGCAATTAGTTGTTAGTGTCATAATATTAACTTTTAAGGAGGATGTCACTAACAATACAGTTTTTGTTGTATAAATAATTTCTGGAATATCTTGGCATCACATTTAACAATTTTTTAATTTATTGTTTTCAATAACAATTTCTCCTATGTTTTCCTATGATAAGTAATACGCCACTCGAGACCTAACCCATTAATATGATACATAATATTATATAATGATTTGTACATCTTAGAAAACTTTATTATTTTAGCCAAGAAACAGCCAAAACTTAATATTCTGCTCTCTTCGGTAACATATTCTAGATTCCTTTTAGAATATAGATTTTATTGGTAATCCTACAGTCAATTTTTAAACATAAAATTTTGACGACGTAAGAAAATGCATTTTCCCTTCTTTGCGAATATCTCACTACTTGCGAATCCCGACGTTTCATCTTGGCTTCCTGATATCAATTAATTAGTAGAGTACAATCAGAGATTACGATAAAGTACAGAATCTCGAGCCCTCGCGACGGATAATCCCCTGAAAATCGTTTGCGTTGTGATGCAAACTCGTTTCTGGCGCATTATTTCCCACGTAAATTCTATGGCCAGCGGTAGGAAGAAGTTAAACGACGAAACAAACAGCGCCGCTTAGAAGTTGGTAACCCGACGCGAGGGAAGAAGTTGCGGGCGGGTGCGGGAAAGCGAAATCAGATTACAAAAGATTGCGGCGAAGAGTACCCTTCCCCTCGATTCTCCGCGCCCGCATCGCCTGCCGGTGAAACAAACCTTCGGCGATGGCAAAGAGCTAGCTGAAAGCTAAGAGAAGGATCGAGGAGGAGAAAAACAGGTGCAACCGCTGCTCGCGGGTAAATCGAGTTTCGAACGAATTTTCCTCGGGGTCTCATCCGCGAATTTTAGCAGTCGCGCCTCGACGTGCAACGTCCGACCACTCGAAGTAGTAATCGAACGTTTTTGTCATACACGTCGGTTCAAGTGCCGACCGGCAGATGGCGCCAGGGAGGCCGTAGTCTATGGTCTGGCTCGTTACGGTCGCTATCTACTTTATTGCTCAATGTGGCAGGATATTTTTTACCGATTCCTTGAATCTTCTTCTCTGGCACGAGTTCATTTCTTGGTTCCTATCTGATGTTTCGGTTCGTTAACTATTGCAGCAATTTTTATTTAACTTGTGTTTTTAAAATGTATTTAATTTTATTAATTTATTAATTCCCCCTTTTATATATTTTATATAAATTTTTTTAGAACAAACTAACGAAAGACAGAGAGAGAAAGAGAGAGAGAAAGAGGAAGAGCCTTATATGAATAAAGTGGAATTCTTAAAAGTAACATTTGTACATGAATTTTACAATTTCCAATTCATGTAAACTCGCGCCGATTATTTGTAAAATTGTAAAATTCATACAAAATTATTAGACCAAAATCCACTTTGACCGAGAAAGGCCTTTTATTTCTTTAATTGTTATTTTATGTTATTCGCATTGGTCAATTTTTCATTTATTGTTTTTTTAATACAAATTATTCAGTTGTTGAATTGTAGTCCTTGAAGCATAAAAAAGGAGAATTTTTAATTTATAGTGTAATCTTTAATTCCAGATGACGCGAAATTCAATTGTATATTTATAAAGGGGCACTTCTCTCGATTATTCAATGATTCTCAGAATCGTGTATATAAGAACATGCAATTTAATGTCGTTGCAAGAGTAGTATTATTTCTAGAACAAACGATACTTGCCGTCTCACCCTACTTACAAAACAGCGACCGACGATGTAACCGTGACGCAATCGAACGAAAGTTGTAAATTTAAATTGACGGGAACTTTCCCTCAGAAATATATATCAAGCACATTGAATCGGAAATACTGAAATACCACTCGTAACGAAGTATACTGGCGCCCGTCTGACTCGTTACGCCCTCCATCTACTTCGTCCTCGTCCGTTGTGGCTTACGCGAGCGCGAACGCGGTCGTCGATCGTTCCACTTTTTCCTTTCGTCTGGTTTCCGGGCTTCACGCGCGGTTAGTTCTCTTCTTAGTTCTTCGTCGTTCGTTGCAGACGATATCGATACGATTTCCGCAGATAGCGCCCGAGAAATTATCTGAAGGACGCTCGATTAAAGGCAAAATATTGTAGTAAAATATTGTAGTAAAATGTGTTGATAAAAAATTATATACGTTAAAAAATATATTTGTATATATATATATATATAT